TTCCAAAATGGATTAATTAGCAGTCCATAATAACTATCTTTCCAAGATAATCAGCTGTATATGGAAAGGGAGTGCAGCAAGCTTTCTCCTTTCCCGTTACAGTATCAATGCAAAGATACAGAAATTTCCATTTTTGTTTTGGATAACCAATTACACGCAAATTCAGCACTGTGGTTCTTATTCTTGGGCTCTGCACTTGCATGGAACTTCTCTTCAGGAAACTTACATTGGCGAGGATCTTAACTAAGAATTCTTTCTACACCGTTCCAATGTGTCTGGCCTTGATGGGTTCCCAACGTAGTCCTCATTGGGGTGATCTCATGGACGACCTTGAATCCCTGGGACTATGTTTTACTTGTAAAATTGCTAAGGTTTTTCCTTATTCACTCATCTTCTATCATATATTTCAGTTATTTTGTTTTCTGTTTGTCTTTAATGAGTAATCTGGTTCCTTCAAGTCTCTTGAAAAAAGTCAGTTTCATAACCCAAGGTGTAAAATTGGCTTGCTTCAGTATATAATTCTGATTTTTTCTTGTCAAGCCTAGCCACACAAGGATCTTGAAAATAAATACACATTTCACATTATTCTTATTTAAACTGCCTTGTTTTTGAAGTGTAAATGGGGTGATCTGCATCGACCCAGAGACTTTTATTTTCTGGCCTTCCCAGATTGCATATACTTCTTTGCAAACAGCTTACTAGATAATGTCTGAATTTCCAGCTGTGTATCCGTGAAAGCTAGGCTTGAATGCAAACAGCATATGGTTACATGCTTGCTTGTATTCATATGTAATTTATGTTCTGTATTCATTTGGTAGCCATAGTGATTGGGTGGTGTCCAACCCTGGCCATCTGCCAGTAGAATAGAAATGAATGATGGAAGAGATTTTTCCTCCTCCCTGTATGCTCCAGAAAGTTGGGGAAACATCTAGAATCAATTTGGAGTCATGGGGAAGGAGCACAAGGGCAATTGCTTATTTAGTATTGGGCTTAACCCTCTGAACTGAAAGGATATATTCAATTTTGGTTTTGTATTCTTTTGCTTTCTATTTTAGTATTAGTCATTAATACCAACTGAAAACATTTATGGAATTGTACTGTTAGGTCATGCAACCCAGTACTTTTTGGTAAAGAGAGATAGTACTTGATTGTGGTTTTCTTCTTCTTGTTGTTTTAATCTTGGATGCATAGGGTTCAGCCAAGCTACTGTTTGCCTTGACATTATTGACTGACGACAGAGGTTATTAGCTGCTGTCTTCTCTGTTTGTCTGACCAAATTAATGCATACTTAATATATATTGAAGAACTTAACAGTTTACCTATCTACCTACCAATCAACCAAAAGAGAAAAAAACCCTTAAAAGCCACTTTGTGATCAAATACTCCACCCAGTAAAATATAGAAGTAATGTAAAAATTCCTTAACTTGTATTATTTTGTCTCCACCTTGGGACAGCAGTTCATCGTGCTGTCTGCTTTGTTAAAGAAGATGCTACTGCCACCAGGGCCATGGCCAACTTAAGGCATTTTGATGCCTGAAATCTAAATAGCGTCTTCATAGCAGCAAGACTATCATGACATAATGGAGCATTTTCTGTACTGTAATGTTACCCCAAATGTCTCTCTTCAGCCTAGTAGGTGCAGCTCAATTATTAGGAGCTAGATGCTTCCTTCTGAACAAAAGGAACTTGATTCTGACTTTAAGACAGAAGTCAGTACTCTGTATTTGTTTATGTACTGTTAAAGTTGTATTTACAAAGCCAGAACAGTAATTTCATTATGAATGTTCCCTTTGTCCCTAACACATGGCAGTCATGACTAATGACACCAGTTATGATTAATGATTTTCATTCTGGTCATCTTGAAACCCCACACTTTCTATATAAATGCTCAGGTAAAGACAATGATCATTTACCTTCTTTACATTTCTTCTGAAAAAGCATTGAAGTACTTTTCTGTTTTGATGAAGCAGCCATTGTAGTATAAGCCAGCTTTTAGATCAGTGTCAAACTTATCAGGCATAGTTTTCTTTAGTTAAGCTTATTTCGGTTTTGCTATCGCATTGAATATATTATTGTTTCTCTGGCAGACCATGCAAGACTACCTGCAATAAAAAGAGAATGCAACAAATAAAATAAATTCTAAAACAACATTACACTTCAACAGATTTTTCACAGATCCCTCACAGCAACCTGCAGCTAAAAGCCTGCAATATAAAGCTATAAGCCTTAGAAGATATTCTCCAAATATCTTGCTTAACTAAGATTTGGCAATGTGACAAAATGTAAGCAGCCAAGGAGGTTGGCAGACATTTTCAGAAAAGGCATATCAAAGAAAAGTGACACTGTTGATAAAATATATTCCTTGTGACCACCAAACTAGTTTCTCATGACTGGGGCATCTAGAATAGAGTTTTATTAAGCATGTCTAAGCATGTCTGGAGTAATAGCAGTAGGGATGGGAAACTAATAGAAATGAAGACTATGCCTTTTCCACTGTTGTTATTCCATTGAGATTTTTATTTTAAGCAAAATTTTGATCAATAAATATAAGGTGGATTCTAACAGTTTCCAGTTGCTAATCAGCATATTGGCAATGTTCCTTTTGTAGTTCTGTGTGGAATTTTTCAGTCAGTATGAAAATATAGTATTACTGATTATTCACCTCTAAAACTGAAGCCTGCATTTTTCATGCTGAAAGATTCAGAAATATTTTGCTTGGTCAATTGAATATCATGGCATTTTCCTCTGGGAACAAAAGTTTACAATACATTTTAAAAAGATAAAGATGATTTCATTGATGGTGCGGGTGAAGGAGGAGAATGCAAAAGTTGGCTTGAAACTCAACATTAAGAAAACTAAGATCATGGCATCGGGTCCTCTTACTTCATGGCAAATAGATGGGGAAGAAATGGAGGTAGTGACAGATTTTATTTTCCTGGGCTCCAAGATCACCGCATATGGGAACTGCAGCCAAGAAATTAAGAGACGCTTGCTCCTTGGGAAGAAAGCTATGGCAAATCTAGACAGCATACTAAAAAGCAGAGACACCATCCTGCCAACAAAAGTGCATATAGTCAAGGCTATGGTTTTCCCATTTGCAATGTATGGCTGTGAAAGTTGGACCATAAGGAAGGCTGAGCGCCAAAGGATTGATGCCTTTGAGTTGTGGTGGTGGCGGAGACTCCTGCGAGTCCCTTGGACCGCAAGGCGATCAAACCGGTCAGTGCTAGAGGAGATCAACCCTGACTGCTCTTTAGAAGGCCAGATACTGAAGATGAAACCCAAATACTTTGGCCACATAATGAGAGGGAAGGACTCACTGGAGAAGAGCCTAATGCTGGGAACAATAGATGGCAAAAGAAGAAGGGGCCGGCAGAAAATGAGGTGGCTGGATGGAGTCACTGAAGCAGTTGGTGTGAGCTTGGATGGACTCTGGGGGATGGTGGAGGACAGGAAGGCCTGGAGGAATGTTGTCCATGGGGTCATGATGAGTCGGATATGACTTCGTGACTAACAACAACAATCATCCTAATATTAGGATTAGGATTAAGATGCAGCTTTAGTCAGTGGAGTTTGTCTGTACTTTAGATACACATGTTTGACTGCAAGAAGATAACAAATAAATATTCAGTGCTCTTCTAAATACAGATAACTTGTGGCTCTTTACCAAATGTGCAGTGAAATAAAGAATGCACCAGATTCTCTATTAATTAAGTCCACAAAAGTATTTCTATATTTCTCATCTAAGAATGTCAGAGAAACAGAAAAATGATCTTGTGATTATTCTGTGTTTTATTGTGTGTCATGGTCATTCTTGTAACAATAGTGCCATTGTAAGAAAACATAATTTTGATTTTTTTCCAGGTTCTCAGTGGCAGCAAATTAGAAGATTTTATTTTTGAGTATTTGTTTTACCATTTTATTTTTTGTGTGATAATTGGCTAGCAATCTAGCAAATTCTGGTAATAAATCATACTCCACTGTTAACTTCTTGCACTAGATTATCCATTCCTGTCTAACTGAATGTGCTAGTGATGAAACAAGGCTTTTAAAAGAATTGGTTCTGTAAAGTTATGACAAGATGTAAATCTCTAGATCCACATAGCTGCAACATATAGTAACTAGAACAGTAGGATATTAAGGTACAATTTAGTGGCAGAGAAAAATTAAAATGCCCTAAAAATTAAACTATGCCTTTCTTTCATTTTAGTTAAAGAACTTCCCTATTACTCAAACCACTATTAATCTTACAGCTATTTTTTCTGGAACAAATATTTATTGAACAGCTTACCCACATAATTAGCTTTAAACATGTTCTACCAAGATTCTATCTATCAATGGGGCCTTGTCCCAAATATCTTGACTTGATTATTATAGCTGTTATTTTTCTAATAAACTAGGAAACTGAGACCTACTTATTATTACCATATACCAATACACTATTATAAAGTAAAACCACCTTAAAACATATATTTAAGGGATGCCAGTCCAAATAAAGCTCTCCATACAGTCAGGTATTTGTATGGGATGTGCAGCCTCTTTAAGCAAGTATTTACTTATCTTCTGAAAGATGGCAGAGTTGGGATCTAGCAGACATTAGAAAGGGAGCTCTAGAATTGCATAGTGTAACTGAGAGGGCACTTCATCATTGATCTTAAAGAGCAAAAAATTCCAGGTAGACCAAGTTGTTCTACATGTCTTAATATTCCGTTAATTTTAGTGAATTTGTGTTTAGTGCTATCTGCTAGAAATACAATAAATATATAATTCTATTAGATCATTTTGAAGGTACCTTTGTGAAAGTCACATGTTTTCTTACCACTTCAATTCCACTAATATTTTTCTGTCACATCAGTATTATGCACCAATGTCTACCTTGTTTAAAGCTCTCACAGTTTTGGAACTCATGTAATAATTTTCTAATTGGACATCTTATAAGTGACTCATCCCTGCTGTTTTCTAATTTGCCATTACAAGCATTTCTATATTTTTGTTTTAGACGTATCCACACCAGAGGCCTCCAAGAAACTGTCAGAAAGCTGCGTAGCAAATGGGAGCCTGGCAACTGAAGCAAAGTTGAATGCTGTTGGTGCTACTAAATTGCAACGAAAGAGACTGTTGAAAGCTCCAACTCTGGCTGAACTAGACAGCTCAGATTCAGAGGTAAGGTATCAGGCAGCATTTTCTGTGAGCTCCTTCAAGTTTTACTAATACTTGCTAAGTCATTGCTTAAACTTTAAGAGCTGGACATAATAATATTTTATAATCTATTTCCTGAATAAATCACTTAACAAATGAATCATGATAAAACACAAGATTATCTAAGTCAGCCCACTGGCCACATTTTAAGACTAACAATCCAAAACTAATATATTGTGCACCAAGTCTAAGTACATAAGTTCGGCTGCCCAGAATCTTGGTCAGCATGCAAGCCTTAAAGCATTCTCTGAAGTGATGACTTAAGGGGTCAAATGCTGACCCAGCCTGTGTGCCAGCCATCTAGCTATAGTGCACTACAGAGGTAATTTCAGGGTAATCAGCTGCATCAAACAAGAAATCTTTCTGTATCAGCAGAAGCGCATATAAAATGTCCAAGTCAAGCTGGCTGTATCTCCCCCACTCTTGTTTGTATAGAAGCCAGGCCTGACAGACTTGCAGTACCAGGATATTGTAAATCATGGTGCTAAACTAATACACCAGTGCAAACATTTAAACCTGCCTCTGAACAGGTATACATAGGGGACTGACATTTGAAGAACAAACATTATTTGAATGAATCATTTCCCAGAAAAATAACTATGTGTGGCAAGTGGCTAGATGTGCCATAAAATAATATGTTAGCGTCCAACTGCCTACAAATGAAATGGTAGTGACTTGACACCAGTACTTATTGTATGCATGGCCAACCACTAAAACTGTTTGAGGAGAAAATAATATAGGAATAGCTATGCTAGATCAGACCAATGGTTCATCTAGTCCAGCATTCTTTTCACACAGTGGCAAATCAGCTGCCTGCAGGATCCCACAAGCAGAATACTCGTGCAACAGCACTCCTCTGTGCAAATTCTACGACAACTGGTGTGCATAGACACACTGCCTCTGAAAAAATAGGCAGCTGCAACTGCTGCATGATAAAGTGGGTTATGTGCACTAGGGATTGTTTGTTAATTAGTCACATGTTCAAAGTGGCCTCACCTTCTAATCATCAATTGAGGTTGAGTATTTTCCAACTATATTTGGAAATTCTTCTCAGGCTCTTGGTATAAGGAATAAAGGCAGTAGTGCCATTAGCACTAGTCCTCTGAATGGAGGTCTGAGGCCTTGCAATATGGCAGCTGTTCAGAGGTCCTAAGACAATGCCACAGAAGAAGCACTGTTCAAAAGCCACAGTGCACTAAGAAATAAACACTGCACCAGCTGAGAATTCAGGTATGCACTATTTTAATTTATATACTTTCCTCCAGAGTAACTTCAGCCAATTACATGACTCTTTTATGACTCCTGTGTGCTCCATACCCTAACAGATGGTGCCTGATTGGGTGAGATTGCTGCCACTCTTACTTTTAGGGAAATTATTTAAATCAAAATGGCATATGGTTGCAACCTTCATTTAGCCATGCAGCACTTCACACCATAACTTGTGAAGCAGCAGCCTAGACAGCCAACCATGAAGAGAAATGGGGCACATACAGGCAGGAAGTATGTATTGTTGCATATTCTGTGTGATCAAAAATTCAAATTTCAGAGAATTTGCAAGGAACAGTACAATTTCAGTAGCATTTTTCCACATATAACTTCCTGAATAAAGCACTTTATTTTTTTAATAAATGGTTTTTAATGGTTTTTAACTGGGCAGATGCCACAGATTGTCAAGATTTCTAAATCCCTTAATTTTTATTTTTAGGAAGAGTCTGTACGCAAATCAGCCAGCAGTAGTAGTATCTCTCCTTCTCAAATGGAAGATACACTTCCAGATACCACATCTGGGAAAAAGGGTAAGAAATCTGAACTGAAAACATTGATGCTTGTGCTTGGGTATATCTTTTGAGCCAGATGATTCAAACAAGGATCGCCAACTTATTTAGTTAAAGGGAATTACTTATGTCCATGGAGTATAGTCTGGAGGGAGGTTAAAGGAAAAATGGCTGTGAAATCATAAGGTAAGTACTGGAGACTTAAAATCTAGTGATACAGATGTAGTGAGGAGAAGTCACAGTATAATTTTGCTTTGAGTAAGCCTGTACTAAATGGTTTACTAGACTGTGAACAAACTTTCGCATACACACACACACACATTGAATATAGAAGTAACTAGATTTTGACTTGGAAACTTCTTGAGTTTGATGTGGTTTTATAAACAGAAATGATTATTTATTTTGGCTTGGAAAAGGAAGTACTACATCAATCAATTCTCTTTAATAGGAAACAGTTTTACTTAACAAGGTAATTCACATCATTATAAATATGCATGATAGTTTAACCTGTTTTACCAGAGTATGAAAAAGTACACTCACTATTTGGTGCACATCATTTGTAGGAGTATCACAACACTCTCACTAGAATAATAATGTTCATTTATCTGCATTCTATTCCTTTAATATCTTTAATTTTGCTTTTAAATGAAAATGTCTCATTATTAGCACCTGATTTATGTTGATTAAATTTATAGTGCCTCCAAAATTCTTGCCAATATCATCTACACCACAGCCAGAGAGGAGACAACCACCTCAGAGGCGACATTCCATTGAAAAAGAGACACCAACTAATGTACGACAGTTCTTGCCCCCTACAAAGCAGAGCTCCAGATCACTTGTAAGTAGTATGAGAGATCATTTTCAGCATTGGTTCAAGGGATAAAGAAACTCCACAGTAACATGGAGAGAAACAGGAATTCTAAAAATAGTGCTGTGATGAATCCCCAGATGCAATATCACCTCAACCTGTATTATAATTTGGATCAACATTTGAGCTTTGTCTCTAACAGATTAGATAGAAACTCCAAAATGAGACAGCTCTGAACTTTATGATTTGAAATTGTAGTGTTGTGATTAAGAATTAATTAAATTCCAATTTAAATACACTTACAAAAGAAATGTTTCCAAATATGAGCTCTTAAATAGGCATTTTCCAAATTAAAATGAAATTAATACTTTAGTTTTGTAGCATTTTAATCTAATATTGAGGCTGTGAGATTTTTTTTTCCTCCCACATGTTTGAAATTACTTTCATTAAAGAGTGCCAAGCAGCATGTGATCACCTTACTATATTGAATCAACTGAGAACACACACACAAAAGGTTGTTCTTGGAAAGAAAATATAGCACATTCAGTTAGTAGGCTTTAACTGAAAGCAGTTCTCTGACAGTACGCAAGTTGTCTGGGAAGACAAAATGTCTGTTTTGAGACTGGCTCAATGTTTGGAATGCTTTGCAATTTCATAAGATATCCAAATTTACTTTCTCTTAAAAGGGCCCTAAAGTATCACTTAGAATTGAAACAGAGTAAAATAGGGCAATAGGGCAACTTGCCAGCTCTTTAAGTCACTTGAGTGGCATTGATTAGCATTAAAGAGAAGCCATCTAATTTCTCCTTGGCTCAAGATGCTGTGTTTTGCATGCCAGTTCTTTGAGGTGTTGAGGTTAGCTTGTACTAAGTAATACACTTCACTAATACTGAGAGGGTACAGCCTCTTCCCAAATGGCTTTTTGTCATATGACTGTAACTTGAGTGCAGCTTTAGATCCTAGGTGAATGGCATTTCAACAACCTTAAGCTCATTTGTCAGTGCAGTATGTAGAGTACAATACAATGGGAATTATTTTCCAAGAATTGGCTTAGGAGAGCAGTCGTTTTGTACATGTGAGATAAAGAGTTCATTCAATGTACTGAGGAAAAAAATTAGAATACACATACGAGACTTGCAGCAATTATTTTTAGATGGTACAGTAATATTTCATTTTGTTTTATTGTTGGGATTTAGTATTGTTTCATTTAAGGGTTCACAAGTTCAGCAATATTCAGAAGTGGTTTACAAGGCAGTTACAAGATATAAATCAAGCTGCAACATAGCGAACTACAAGAAATAAAACAACAAAAAGCCAAAGCAGCATGAGCAACAAACCAACTAGCTGGACACACAAATGTCCCTAACAATTAGTCAAAATGTAGAAAGTAATAAAATCCCTGGAATAAAAAAAAATGCAAGCTCCAATTTAGCCAAAAGTTTCAGGAAGGCCAAGATTTACCCTGGTGTCTGCATTCATATAATGTCTGGGCATGATAGGCCTAACTTGAAGAAAAAAATCAACAGAAACAATTGTTTACAGTGCTACAATTGTCATACATCCTAATATATGTCTACAAAGCCTCTATTTGGTTTGAGGCACGGACACTGAACAGAATGCATGGGAACAGGACATTTAGAAGAAGCCCTCTAGGTATGCAAGTCACAAACAGTTTAGAAATTTAGAAGTTAAACCAGCTCCATAAATTTTGCCTGGGAACAAACAGGTTAACTAGTGCAAATCAGGCAAGATTAATGTGATATGGTCCTATACTTTGCCTTGGCAGCCTAGCAGCAGGGCGTCTGGGTATTCTTCTAGGACAATTCCTTTCAGAGATAATTACAGTAATCAAACCAATCCTATATATGACCTAATCCAAAAAGAGAAAATTGTTAAAAAAATAATCGGGATGATGAATTCTGAATGAAAGCAGCATATATAAATATCTTAAAATTCATGTATGCCATTGGATAGTTTCTTCTAAACCTTGTCATTGTGCTTCTTCATGTATAGAGTGAAAAGATAGTTTCCTGTTTCATGTGTGTGTGCATGCACATGTTTGGATAAGAAAATTCATACTTGTGTGTAAGGGAAAGCAGCAGAAGAAAAGGAAGACCAAATATGAGATGGATCAATTCCATAAAGCAGGGGTCTCAAACTCAACTTACCTGGGGGCCGCTGGAAGTAGAGTCTGGGTGAAGCTGGGCTGCATCAAGTATTCCACCACCACGGTGGTGGTGGGCCACTCATCCCGCGGCCGGCCCGGGCGCCGCCGGTGCTTTGAAGGCCGCAGGGCCCTTCCCCCGTGCCCTGCCCATCCTGGCAATTGGCTCGCGGGCCGCGAGTTTGAGACGCCTGCCATAAAGGAAGCCAAACCCTTGAATTTACAAGAGCTTGTCAGGGCTATTGTGAATAGGACATTTTGGAGGGCTATCATTCATAGGGTCATCATAAGTCAGAGAATACTTGGTGGCACATCACAACAGCAAGAACATCTGAATAAGTTTATTTGGTATGTACATCACAAAGCAGCACATATATTGACTTTTACATTTAGTTATATTAGACTGCAGGTATTAAGACACACTCTGCATACATTTCTGCTCTTGAGTATGACTCGTACTATACAAGAAGGCAATGTGAGAAAAGCAAACAATTATAGTGTTTGTTCATAAGTAAATATTTATCTGTTGTGCAATAGTGCCTCTTAGAGGAAATACCTGGAAATATTATGAAATGTCAAGAAAAGCTAAGAAAGGTAATTCCAGGTTTATTGTGCAATCTCTGTTTCATTCATATAATTTTACAGGGGAGCCATATAACATCTTCCATTTGTAAACTTCCCATATGTTCCTACTGCATTTTCCCTTTAATTTTACCACGAAAATCCATCGAAGGGAAAATTGAATGGCTAAGCTTTTGTGTGTGTGTGTGTGTGTATGTCTAGGAACAATCCATTTGGAAACATACAAAGTTATTAAAACATTGAATATTTCAGTGCCATCTGACATTGTTAAATGCTACACTATCTATGTCTAAAATACAGCTTTAACACTACAGTTCTGTGACTAGAGCTGCTCAAAATAAGAACGAAACTCAAAATACTACCTACCTTGAATTTAACATCATTCATATTTATCCCTTCCCTCAGGACTGATGGACTTCATTGTTTTTCTTCTGTTCCAATGATGCCAGTTGTTTCCCAAGGTGAAAGAAACCCCAGCTTTAAATTCTTCTTACTTTCACTGAACAGAAGATTATTTTATTTTTCAGAATTTGCAGGGAAATTGTCCAATGTAGTGTGCTATGGCTTTATTGAATTGGCTTCCTAGCTTGCTGAGGAAATTATTACTGAAGCTTCAGTTACATAATCCAAAGTACTAGACAAGCATTTAATTTTTATTCAGCATTCCCTTTTCTACTTCCTGTCTGTTGTTCAGGTTCCCAGGAAAACAGGTGTCTTTCCAAGGAAGATGCTCAAAACACTTTTTGCAACCATACATACAGCCTCTCAGCTTAGCTCCCATCCTTTTGAAGCATCCCTGTTTGGGGTGGCAAGGACTATATATTATCTATGTGAGCGAGCTTATAACAACAAGTGGAAACCCTCAAAGGTTTGCTTTATGCTGCTAGCTTTATAAATCCTATCAGTCTTTCTCATCAAGAAGGGGGAGTGCTTCTTAAGCTGCAGCTAGATTTAAAAGCTTAGGTTGTTGATGGATACTGATTGAAATTGATTTCATCATCTGTAGGACTTCTGTGTGCATGTGTAGAACCTCTAATCAGTCTGCTAGGAAGCAGAAATTACATCTGAAAGGACAGCAAACTAAAAAATGCAACATAAAAGATGATCAAGGAAAGAACTTTCAGAGTCTGTAGAGCTTAAAGAGAGAATCTAGTAGAAAGCCAGTTCAGCAGATTTAAAAATGTATTTAAACCCACCTTTATCTCCACTTTGACGAAATGAAGAAGTTTATAAATTGTGTTGTGCATCCAAGTGTAAAGCAATATTTGTAACTCAAAAATGTTTAAGAGATATTTTGACCATGAGAATTTAACTATATCTGAATGCCTGGTTTTCTCCAGAAACTAATTGGTACATTTTTCCAATGAAATTGAGTTGCAAGAGATAAAAGTATTTGGACGTACCTTAAATCCATTTACAATGTAAGACTAATAGGCTTGTACAAGCAGAATTAAAGCATTGGACTTGGTTTCTGCAAGCAGTAGAAACCACACTAACACAGTGCCGACATTGGATACAACGCTAGAATTTTATCAGATCAGGACCTTCATCTATTAATTATTATTACTTATTATATTTTATTAAATACAAGTTATCCCTGTATTAATTCTCCTGAGATGGTAATATAGGAGTATAGGATTCTCTGAGACATTGTCAGTCCAATCCATTAAGATGCTACACCAAGCTCTCAGTGCTTAGCTTTGGCATTTTAGCCAAACACTGCATCAGTGCAATAGCATCAGCAAGGATCTTAGCCCACTGACTCAGCACTGCGGGAGCATGGAAAAGGATGGACTAGAAACACCCCATATGTACACAGACCTAAAGTCCTTTTGATCCCTGGAAACATACACTTAAAGGAATTTTCCAGGGAAACTTTGCATGAATGAAATAAAGGGCAGAGTTTGATCCTGAGATAGCTCTAGCAGTAGCATGAGTCTGGGCTCCAACCTCTATATTTACTAAAATCCTATGAAACATTACATATTGAAATGCCCATCCTCAGTAAAGATTAAATTCACTGGATATTTAGGAAAAAAGTAGAACACGCTTAAACATACACTGCTGTTACCTGTATATAACATTTTAAAATGTTATTTAACTTAGTTGTTGTAAGCCACCCTGAGGGCGGCATAAAAATGTTTTAATAAATAAATATATCTGGTTGGTGGTAGGGAAAAGGGCTCAAGGCACAGTTCACAGGAATTTCTCCTGAGCAGAGCCTGTCTACATTAATAAAGCTTGTGCAAAGGGATAATGTTGCTGCGGTGCAATGCCTATGCATTTGCACAGGTACTGTGCAGGAGGCATTACAGATGCTTATGCTGGTTTAGAAACTCTTTTAAATGCATGGGATAAGTTGCAATAAATTACAATGTGTTGAGTAGAATTAACATAGGATTATAATTAAATAGCTAGGAGCCAAAGAGCTGATTAAGGGCACCTGAAATATTTTTAGGTACAGCCAGGGATAGGGCTAAAAGCACAGACCTGCTTCAACAGATGTGTGAATAGGAGGTTAAAGGAATGGCGAATGGAAGGGCCTTCTTGAAGATTGCACCCTATCTCTGGAACCAGCTCTCTGGAGAAGCTCACCTCTTCCTTACAATAATTTTGGTGCCAGATAAAAACAGCTCTATCTTTTAGATAATTTAATAGTCAATTAAATAGCATTGTAATAAGTTTAACTTTAGTTGATTGTTCAAATGAAACCACTCTTTGAATTAACCACTACACTGACTGAGGTTAAATTTTGTAAAATATTAAGTGGAAGTTTCATTGGTATTGTTTGTTTTTAATAATTTTACTACACTATTGTATATTTTTGTATACAATTGTTGATGGATGTATACTGCCCAGAGAGTCCCAGCTGGGACTATTGGAGGAAGTTTTATGAAACAAAAAATATTGTCAGAATCTCATGATAACCACTTACTCCCTCTCTCTTTCCCTTCAAGCACTTTGTGACCTTTTTCCAATTAACATCCCAATATACATAATTTCCCTTCTTGGTCTAGGTTGTGCAGTGGTCTAGGAATCCAGACATAGCTAATAAATTAAATGCCATTTTAAAATTGTAATTGTTAATGCTTATACCAAATTTTCTTCAAAATTAATAGGATTTCAATCCAGCAAAAAAAAAAAAAATGGATTTCAATAGTAATTGGCTGAATTCCACTGGATGCAAGAACTGGAAATAATCTTAGGCAGTACTTTATCCTCAATTGCATGTAATCCTCATAACAATGGGGTGAATTATGTATGGAGTTAGTAATGCTAAATGTTACTTTTAATAAACCTTAGCCAAATTACATCATGACTTTGATTCAATGAAATTTTTCAGCTAGTATGGATTCTCATGTCAACATCTCAAATTTTATTTCACTATATATGGCTTTTATTTATTTAATGTTGCATTACAGTTTGTTTGTCCTTGTGTAAGTTTGTGTAAAAATGAAAATATTAACATTTAAACATAGACTTTCCTCTTGTTTATTTGTGTTTTAATAAAAGCTACTTTTATGACAAAAATATATTTTTCATAATCTACTGTAGTAGAAAACAATGACAGAACAATTTAATATCTTCAAGAAAGAACCAAGAAGACATATTTGACATATTTTTACTTACCAGTTAGACAAATGAGCCTGTTGACAAATGCCAGTGTAATATGTAGAGAGCAATGTAATAAAATACGCATTTATTCATGATTTGATTGCAGTCAGTGATGATAGCCAACAGAAGAATTTCAGTAAATACTATTAGAATAAAAGTCTCAGCTGAAGAGTGATAGCATAATTGTTCTATGCATTATATGGCAAAAAGTTGGGTTTGTCACTGCATATACCTGACAGGGAACTGCAGAGTGGATTGGTACAGTAGAAATATTTTTAAATATTGTGTCATTTAGTAATTAACATTGTAGGTTACTTAAAGTAGTCTTTGAAGTATTCCTAAAAATAAAATAGTGGATTAACCCTAAGGGCATCATCCTAAAATACTTGCATAGAAAAAAACAGAGATGCTGTGCTATAGACTTTCAGACTAGGCAATACAGACACTGTCAATGGTGCCCGGCAGTGGCTGTCCCATGTTTCAGGCAAAGGTTTTTCCAGACTTACTGAGAGGTGCCAGGGACCGAACCAAGACCTCCTCTATTTGACACATGAGCTTTACTACTGAGCTACAACCCTTGACCATTCAGTTTTTCACTGATTCATTATCCCCACTAGCTAACCTTTGGGCAGTCGCTAATCAATCAGTTATACAAGGCTAGTCAATCACACAAGGATGAAACAAGTGGGAAAGAGCTGTGTATACCACCCTGAGATCATTGGTTGAAAGCTGGGAACAATGTAATAAAATGATAGGGCAGTATCTAGTGTTGCTGATTTACTTATACCAGTCGTGTAGTATAAGCATAAGTGACTTCTAGCACAATACTAAATTGTGCATGCTGGCACAAAATGTTTCCCCAGAAAATTTGCCAGATCAGTATATGTTATTGGCATTGTTGTAGAGCAAGGGTGGGGCAAATTTGTAGGGCCCCAGGAGCACTTTAAATACTCCCCCCAATCATATACCTGCTAACACTGTGCTTGTCTATTCATTGGCAATTGTATGTTTTCCACCAAAAATTACTACCGAGTAGTAAAAAGATCAGATTTTAGCTTGTTCAAAACCACTCATTTTTTGCCACTGCAAATTTCAGTACTGCAGAAGCCAGGGGCATGTAGCCTTCCAGCTTCCATCCTTGTATTACTGGTTGCTATGCCAGGACTTTGTTAGTTGTGTGAGTGGAGTGGCAGTGCTGGATTCTGCCCATATATACATATTTCCACTGAATTCAGTTGGGTTTGCTTTAAAAAAAAAAGTTCAAAATAATTGCTCAGTTAATTTAGCACGCCCAGGTAGACTTTGGTTTTGTGTTTCTCAGACTTGCATTTCTCACTTTTACAAGCATGGCAAACTCCTTTTGAAGCAGGAGGAGGGTCAAAAGAGTGTAGCAATTGAGTCTGTTAAAAGAAAAATGGGAAATGTCGGTAGACTGTTCTTGGTGAATGGGGACATGAATGCATGGAAGTAAACCACAGGTGGCATGAGTGCCCCCACATATCCAACCCCTTTGTGATAAATTATTCATTTCTTAAAATAATTACAAAATTTCAGCCCTCAAAAGACCGCCACAACATTTTATATTACAATACCAATTAAAGTTATGAAACCAGAATTAAAACAAATAAAAAGTCTAACAGAATGTTTAAAAATATTTTAAAACACCAATGTGTAAGTTATCAGTGGTGAGACCAATCCAATCTCTTGGGAGGTTGGCATGTTACCGTAGTCAGACATAGTTTTCTTGGCGGCAGAACTTGCAAGACCTCTGATAACTTAAACAGCTGGTGAGAATGTTCATGTGGAGACAGTAGTCCACCAAATAAGTTGATTGTAAGCCATTTACAGCTGGGCAGACACAAGTTGATCCAATGTCTGCTGCGATTACATTTCTATAGTCATATTCATAATCACATTCATATTTCATAATCATATTCTACCCTTATAAATAGAAATAATTGATGAGACATCTCGTGCTGGAAGCAACAGGAGGCATTTTTCCCCATTTCTTTTTCTTCAGCCCCCATGAAAAATCTGCCCTAGACAGTCAAGAAACTCCCTGAACCTAATGTTTTCAGGAGAAGGGGAAAGTAATAAAAACTCTCCACACTGTCTCTTCCTCCAGAGGAAATTGCCACTGGATTACACCTTCTTCTCCAAGCAGAGAAGGATGCCATCTATCTGCAAAATAATAATTCAGGATTCAATCCACTAAAAATAAAAACACTCTAAAGTAATTAATGCATCAATATATGGTAAAAATAAACACTATAAAAGCACCATCCAAATAAAATAGATCAATAAAGGATAAAAACCTGAAGAGTTGAATTCTTCCTCTGCCACTGGTAAGAACATAAATCTAAGAATATAAACCTTGTATTTTATTTATTTTGAAGCAAAGTATTCCTCAAAACAAGCCCCAGTGAATTTTGGCTCACTAGAAATCAAGGAATTTTCAGTAAGGATGAATAAGATAATGATTACAAAGCCAGATTTAACCAAATTTTAGATTTTTGTGAGCACCTTAAGCAGGATGAAGTTTCTGTGCTTGTCCCATTTTTAGATAGGTAAGACAGCTGTTCTTTAAAAAAAATATATCTCCTATATGCTCATTTGTGCTAGGCCTGCATCATAAATGATTGTTTCCTTTCCTTTCTAACTAAAAGACAGAATCATCCTAAAACTATATCAAATGAAATAAATTAATTGAAATTTTAAACTTCAGTCATTTAACTGAATTTTGCAGCATTATGCTTTCATTCACAGTGAGATTCCCTACCATTTTTCCTGTAAAATAATAATATTGAACCTAGATTGAAGTCTTGGCTCAACTGTGGATCACTGGTTGTCCTGTAACAAACAGTGATCTCTCAACCTCAGTCTTGCCTTGTGATCCTCCCTTGACAAGGTAAAATTAGGGTGAACACACCATATTCCATAAATAAGATATGGCATAACATTCTTAGAATTTCTGTCTTTCAGCTAGATGTCAGTAACAAATCTGAATTATAATTGGGAATATGCAGTTTTATTCTGTGGTACCAGCAGTACTGATGATCTAATATGCTACTGAGTTTTACTATCAAAAAATAGTTCTGCTGGTAGTGCCTAATATTAATTTCTGTCCCAAAAGCCCCATTTTGGGATTAATACTTCTCCTATAACAGAACTATAAAGGGATCTAAACTGTCATTGTTTTAACATTCTATAGGGATAAATTAAATCTGTGTATGACAGTGTTTGTATATGGTACCACAGAATACAGACCTCTTTTGAATCGGGCTACTAATCATTTCTCAAGCTGTTCTAGGCATCACAGCATGTCAAAGAAATTTCAGAACAAAGGAGCACCTGTATTTTCAGAGGCAGGTGACATTGTTTTGCATATTTCTGCATCAACCTACAATTACAATGTGATGTTCATAAAATAGTAATTAACTTAAGAGACAACAGTAGATTTTTAGTGGATACTGTCTTTGGTTACACATCCAAACTCATATATTGAAATGTGTGATGCCTATCGATCAGGAAATACTCTGGTGAAATCTTCCCTCAAATTACTAACCAGGTGGCTGACTTTCTAAGCTGGTGACTGGGCGATAATATGCATAATATGCATACATATTAACAGAGGATTTTTCCTTTCAGGAGGAGTTTTGTTACCCAGTGGAATGCCTGGCTCTCACTGTGGAAGAAGTAATGCATATCCGTCAAGTGTTGGTCAAGGCTGAGCTAGAGAAGTACCAACAGTATAAAGATGTCTATACTGCCCTCAAGAAAGGAAAGGTATGTGTAATTGCACTGATTTTCCAGAGAACTGATAGCAGACTGTGAAGAATAAATTCAATCAAACGTTACTAGAGTTTCTAAAATTGCAAGTTTGAATATCCCCAAGCACTTAAATCAGTTAGTTAATTAAACCAATTAAGGGTGCAATCCTTTGCTTAGAAAAAAGCTCTATAACTTTTTCCAGTCAGCTGAGTTTTTTTTTCTGTTGAAACTTGTAGAATTGCATGCTAAATTAGTTAACTTTTTCATGCACTTACACCATTCTTTTGTATATATAAGCAGGTAGTTAAAATTAAAAGGTAGTATTTGCCTCTTAGAAGAATATTGAGAATGATGAAATGCTTCAAGGTGTAAACCTAGGGTTTGTTTTGTTTTCATGTGCTTTGTAACTCCACTTAGAGAGACCTGCTGGACTATTGATTGAGCGGATTATAAATTCAACAATAATAAATAAATGAGTACAGTTGATATCTGACTTGCTGCTTTGCAAATGGATTTCTTCCATACACATAGGGAAATGGGATCCAGTGGAGGCTTCCTGCTGGAGAAAGAGGGCAGGATGTTTAATTTTGCTATCTCCTTCTCCCCTTTTCAACCTCCCAGACCACCTTCCAATTCTTTAAGATCTCTTGACCCTCTGAAACATCTTTTTTTTAAAGGACAGGGGACTGTAGAGGTACAGAGAGAACAGCAAAAATAGCCATGCCATCTCCTCCTGTCAACTCCAGCAGAATTCAGCAAGGTGCAACAATGGATACAATTCAGCTAACTCAATGGGAGTTACATGCTTTTAGGACTGCACAGTCAAATTACCTGAACTAGAAAAAAAACCTGCATTAGTGAAGGAATGTTAACCATTTCCTGTATCTTATGAAGAATAGGAAAATTCCCAGTTTTAATAGATTAGGTTACTGATTAAATCTATCAAATTTCAACTTCAGGCAGTTCATCTTTACTGAGGAAGAGATTTACAGTAAGAGCTCCTAATGCTATTTGCCATTCTTAATTTTTGTAGCTCTGTTTTTGTTGCCGAACAAGGAGGTTTTCTTTCTTCACCTGGTCCTATACGTGTCAGTTTTGTAAAAGGTAAGTCTTTGTCTGGAGCGTTAGAAACCTGGATAGAGCACTGTTTCATTTTTTTGTTTTCAACAAATGCATTAATTGAAGGAGGAAAAGTAGTTGTATTTGAGAGTTAAAGATACTGTGATTTGAACAGGTCAAGGTTTTGCATGTTGAGAAAAACCAGACCTTGAATTCCATGTCTCTTAGGCCAGCACACAGATAGAAATTGTTCCAAAATAAGACCTCTAAGGTTTTTTTAAGTATTAGACTGACTTCTATAATGGACCTGAATGTTTATGTGCCTTTCTTGTTAACTCCCATTTAAATCTAAAATCTGCACCTCTAGCATAACATTAAGTTATAGAATACTGCTGCAGAACAGAGCTCGTGGACCTAATGTTAATTTTAAGTTCTCACTCATTCAGTTTCTGATCTCCATAAAATAGCCAATATCTGTGGGACTTCTTATAGAAGCATGTCAAGCATGGCTTCTCATGTCCCCCATCTTTCCCTCCAAACCAAACATTGGGCAAATCTCTGGAGGAGTCTTTGTTGCAGTACAGGAAGATGCATTCAGAACAGGAGATTGAGCAAGATCCAGGCAATGTGTCCAGAATCCTTTGGATCCCATCAGTAATATCAATCTTTTTTCTGACATGTCCCTGAGTTTGTGGTATTTAAGTTAAAGATGAAACAAACAGTTAATTTTTTTAAAAAATACTGTGTGGCTTTTTAAGCTATTTAATGAAAAGCATGTAGTGCAATTTTGAAGAGAGATGCATAATAATACTGCTTTCAACTGAGTAAGCCATGTATCTCTTCTTTCCTTTACAGGCCTGTATGCTCACAGTGCTGTAAAAAGGTAAGTTAAGAAACCAATAAATCTTTCCTCTTCATAAAATCAATAGTTTAATCCATCCAAAAGCAGTAAAACAAAAAGGACAAAAAATTCCTGTCCTTTGAATCCAACGGTTGTCATACATATGCATCAGTACATGTGCATTCACCTTACTATTCTGCTGATGTTTGCAATATTTATTTTGTGGCATTCCTGGAGAAATTTGCACTGTGAACAGATGGAGGCTATGTAGCCATAGTGCTTTGCTGTCTCTACAGTTCACATACTTTGGACTGATACCACTAGCAATATATTGTATTAGCCCGTAAAACAATTCATACAGTTTCATTGTAACAGTATCTTACTGTAATCTTGCTGCTGTTACAGATGCGCCTACCATCAAAACCATATTCCACTCTTCCTATCTTTTCTTTGGGACCTTCTGCTTTACAGAAAGGAGAGAGTTTTATGAGGCCAGATAAACCTACCACTAGCCATCACCAGTCACTGAGGGGCATGCCAAGGTAAGTGATGCTTCTGGTTAAAATTTGATAGCCATTGACTTTCATATATTTGCATAATTTGTTACAATTCTAGAAGTGTATTTTATGGATTTATATCTCTTTCAACAAGTGCCCAAACATGTATTAAAGGGCTATGTGCAATCTACAAAGGGATGTTCAGTTTCTCCTTTTCAGGAGAAAACATTAGTGGAAGTGGCATTCCATGGAGTATGACAGGTTGGTGTTGGAAGAAGAAATCAGTAAAACTAAACTTCAGTGCATGGGAGGCATTGATACGCATGTAGTCTCTTTGGATTTTGGTCTGTACATTTGAAGAGGTTGGATGAAATTGGATTTAAAATGTTTTTCTTTTACCTGTACAACCATAATTTAAACCTAACATTTTCATTTGCTAAATGATCTTTAATTTTTCCAGTGCTGAAATAGCTTGAGAGATATACCTTAATCGTCTAGACCAATTTTTGCCTGTGAAGTGCATGTCATAACAAATTTGATAGCCTTTGAAGTGCCAAATACTTTTTCTTGTGTTTGCTATAAGAAACTAACTGGGTTACTTATTTGAAATTGAATTAAATTATAAATTGTTCTTTATAGATGGGAGTTTTGCAAGAGTTGTTTATCTGTAAAATTGTTTCATATCATCTGAAAAAACAGATTTAATTTGCTCTTCAAACTTTTGTTTGCCATTTAAATTATAGAATTGAGATGGGTAAAAAAAAATAACTTGAAGTTGGATTCAGGATCCCCTTTCTGTGGAAAGTAGGTCCCCACTTTCCAAGACAGCTTCAGTAATTGTGGGGGAATCATCTCTGTGCAGGAAGGGAAAATTATCCACCATGGCTTATTTTCCTTCCATGATTATGCAGACTCAGTCTCTGTTTCTTCTCTTTTCTTGCTTACTGGCTTGGTTTATGCTTACTGCCAGGGCATTAAACAATGTATGAATCTGTGAGGCTGAGGCAGAGTGAGACAGTGTGCTGCCTCTTGCATGCTCACTGCCTCAGTTTTGCATCCAGTTCCATCAACACCGCATTGGGTTGTTTGATAAGCTGTGCAAACCCAAAGCTTTGGGTTGTTGATTGTCCAAACCATGGACAGAAATACTGACTTCTTTGTTTCTCAACAGTCCAGAGTACCAGGTTCACACATATCAAACAAGCCATGGCTGTTACTGAAAGGAGATGTAAAGTGGAAGTGGCAAGGAGGCAGGAGGCAGCATGCCCACTTGTTCTTGTGCAGCCATAACAACCCATGGGTGGTTATTGCAGTGTAAACTGTAAAGTCTTGAGAGAGACAATATTGTTATGGGATAGGCAGAATTCACTTGTTTTATACAGTTGGAAAGAAGTTGCACTAGTAAGAACAGATGTGTACCTTTGATTTCAGGTTGTCCTCAAAGTCAAAGTCTGTAGATAAATCAGATGAAGAAACACTGTTTCCAAAGGAGCTAATGGAGGACTGGAGCACCATGGAGGTGTGCGTGGACTGCAAAAAGTTCATTTCCGAAATCATTAATTCAAGTCGCCGCAGCCTTTCCCTGGCTAACAAACGAGCTAGGTTAAAAAGGAAAACCCAATCATTCTACATGGCATCCCCAGGCACCTCAGAGTATTGTCCTTCTGAGAGGACTATCAATGAAATCTGATACTTTTGCCTTTCACTTTGCTTTGTCTTCATGAGTTCCTGAAAGAACTCAATGAAACCAGAATGTCTTTCTTTCCTTTGTTCTGCTTGGTAGCTTAGTTTTGCCACCCCATTATAATTTCCAGGAACAAGTCAGAAATCAGGCTATGCAGCAGTTCAGCCAATAACTATGTTTGACTGGAAGAAAACAAACTGTTGCCTTTTTGTATGTGTGAAGCATACAATGAAAGCCTTTACTTGTAGTTTTTCCTGATACCTGTTCCTTGATAATTGTCAGGAAGAGTATCAAAATATATAAAGAGGAACCAGGTGATAGTGTTAGTACAGTTGTAACAATTAACCCCTGTTAGAATTTACACTAATATCTCTATTTCAGTCTTTGAGGCACAGAGGCCAACGTTGCACAAGAAATAGATGCAGGCCATGGCTCTTAATGCCTTACAGTATAACACAAAGTTCAAAAGGATTTGCCGATATGCACAGAATGGTTATCAATCCAAGCTAGAGACTACTGCCTGAGTTTTAGTATAAAATATTGAATAAACTGGATGCCTGATTGGCAAACTATTTTTTTTTCTGCTGCTGCTGCTGCTGCTGTTTTGGTATATTTGCGTGTTCTAAGTAGTAGTAATTTCTTTCTTCTTTTAAATGTATTCTGAATGTTAGTCGTTGTAGTTGTTGCTTTTAGAAATAAACTAAATCATATTATTTATGGGGAGGATGCAAGTACATATAACCTTTTAATATTAGTGAGTTTTTGTAAAATAAATTATCTGGGCAACAATTCTGAGAAAATAGATATGTATATTTGTATTATAGTGGAAGACATAAGTACTGCTGTAAGTAAGAATCTGAGCATATCCATTATAAACCCCATTTTTTTAGGGGTTTGTATCTTGGCTGTAAAGAAATTTTATACCCCGCAAAAATTTGAGACAGCAGTGTCTCAGATTGAGTTTTGTTTTCTTTTTTAAAAACGGTTTGGAGAAACACTGTCTAGCTGTTTTGAATTCCAATAATATTATCAAACATCACATTTTGCACTCTTTTATATTCAGATTTTTAAATATAAACAAACTGGAGCTTGGTGTAGTTTATGGAGTTGGGTTATTTTTGTATTTATAAAAGCCTAAATATTTGCAGACCTTCTTGTGAACAGGAAGAATAACCTTTCCATGTTTCTAATGCCTAGGCCCAAATTTAGAATTGGAATAGAATATGTGAAAGGAAAGAACTTTGTATATTCATTTTCACAATGTAGGCTGATGAATTATCATCTCAGCTTACCTGCAAAACAGGAAGAATTTGCTTAAATGCAACCTAACCTCTCAGTTATTTAATGAAGATACTGAGAAACTAAACTATATATTTTAAATGATCCAAAACATGAATGGCCAACTTTTATTACCAAATTTATTTAAAGACCAGTAGCCTGATTTTAAGATATAGTGTTGCAAAATGTAAATATTTAAGTAGATAACACTGGCCACTGACACAAAAGTTTGGGGTTCACAGATGTAGCCATCCAGTAGTGCTTAGCAGTTCAGCCATAGCAGTGAGAATACTCTTGGACTGAAGACTGCAGCACCTATCTGGCACTACAACTTGGAAACTGAAAGCACTTGGAAATTGGCTGAAAACACTAAATTATCTCATTGCCCAAATAAAACTAGTTACATGGGGAAAGCCACAAACTATCAAAATAAAACCAGCTTAGATGTTTCAATGTAGACATCGTCTAGAGAGGACCGTTGCTCTCACGGAACCCCCTAAGTCAATCTAATGTAGTTCTGATTCAACTTGATACTGTCCCTCATGGTCCCTAACTGTATTTGGTATATTGAATATTGGTGTGGTGACTTTATCATATCAATAAGTAAATCTGAAATTCAGGCTGCAGTTTGCTTTTTTCATTGTTCTATTGGAAAATGTGGACTGAGAACTTCCATACTTTAAATTGTACTTTTGTACAATTTTACTGACAAATTTACATACTTAAATTTTACTTACAAATTTTGCCTACTGTCTTGGGGTGAAAGCAAGGGGACACCTTATAAAGAGGTCAGCAACTGCTGTTACTTTTTCCCTGCAATGGTTGTCCAGAAATGGGAGCCTCACCATTGAAGGCTTTCTGTGTTTCCCCTTTATGCAGTCATTCTCCTATAGTTCTTCAGTTAAAGTCACTGTAAGTAGGGCGGAAGCCAACTGTAAATGAGTATTTAGGTAATTTTCTAGTTAAATTGAATTTCAAATCTAGGCCAGGACTCATGTTCCCTATGTTCTACAAAATAACCTTTACAAATGTTGCACACATTTACTTTTGTGTGTCTGCGGGTCCAAGGATAATTTAGGGAACAGGGATGTGCGAAGTTGTGACAGGAGCAGTTGTGAGCCACCATTAATCCGAGCAATATTATGATCATATCAAGTGACAGTGACCTACTTGGCTAAAGAAGGTCTACATTCTCCAGCCAGATAGCCAATTTGTTCTTTCACTCCCTTGCACCGTGCCCAACAGCTTATAACTGCATACGAGTTTATGGCTTTTACTTGTACATAATGCTAAGCCACAGGTTATGTTAACCATGGTTTGTTGTTTTAGTCATGAATAGCTTTAGTGTTGCTCAAAATGCATCTTGTTTTGCTTATTTCAGGTTTGCTTCTCTCCCACCCATTTTACCAGCCTTCAGAGTGGTTTCATTTTCTGGCTATTCTTGTTGAGAATCTTTTTATCAGGGAGGATAGCAACACAAGATAATCTAGCATCAAGTTCTAGGTTCAGACATCATAACAAGTCATAGTTAAAACATGCCAGACTTTACTGGCCAGCCAACAGCCTGATTTCTGTTTATGGTTTGTAGCTGATTAACAAGGCATAGCTTGTTTTTAGGAATGGGTCTGGGGACATCAACAAGCCAGAGTTCAACAACTCCTACCATGGCTTAGTCATATGTGTGAACCAAGCCAATGTAATTAACATACTAGAAATTTCCACTAGCAAACCTGATACTCTTCAGTCATCATTTCTAATGCTACTTTCTAGTTGCCCTTCTATCTTCTCCTTATTTCTTCCTTGAGGAAGAGAACATATGCCAACTTTTGGTTTGGTAAAAGACAATTCAGCCAATTCTGTTATATTGCTACTTTACTTCACTTTGGAGCCTAAGGAAGAGCTTGATTACTTGACTCTTGTGTTTACTGACATAATGTTGTTATCAGCTTACCATTAATGTTCTGAATATGTTCCAAGTATTAAGGATGTGACCTGTGTCTCTTCATACCTCAGAAAGTTACTCTTGGTGTGAAGCCTTTTGGTGCCCTCTAGTTTAACTATGTTCATATGTCACTATCAGCAAAACTTGTAAATATGTGTAATATATGCTAAGTCTGGAAGGCTTCCACTTTGTAAATTAGGAGTCGACCTTCTTGTGAAGACTAGAAAAGAAGTTATAATAAAAGATTAAGTCCAACAGTTATGCATTTGTCAATTATCCATTTAAAATGTGGAAATTCATAATTCATAGCCATGTTTGAGTTTTAAAGAAGAGAAAGGATATCTGGCACAATAAACCTGACATCAGGAAAATTTAAAAACTTTTATTTTTCTAATCATTAAGAAAGTATCAAAAGAAGACCTGTAGAAGACCTGTAACCAGTGAAATAATTTTGTTAGTACATGAAGATATTTTGGGGGAAATTCCAAACCAGCTCAAATCTGCCTTTGCTATGGCTTAATGTGCAGAAATTTTTTTAAGTGTTCTTGATGGCACTGTTTTGTTTCTGTTCAGATATCTCTTTTACCTGGGAAAAATGCCTTCATGTCACAGTTTTTGTTAAGGTTCACCATGTCTTAAAACCTCTATTTTACATAAGATTAAGAATATATTTAGTTTTTCCTAAGGTCAAATGATTAGTTTTATTTTTTGGTTTGCTTGTGAAACTGAATGAATTCAGTTGGGCTGCATAACAGGAATATATACATATGGCATTTGTGGAACAGAAATAAAACAGCTTTATCTGGTCATTGAAACAAGCCCTGATGAATACATTCAGCATGTAAACAAAGATTACCAATTTGATGTTTAAAATATTGCTTTACCAAAAATGTTTCCATACCTCAAGCTTGAAAGACAATAGCTAATTTTACTGTCTTTCTAAATACGTATCAGTTGTGCTGGATTCTTACATTCTCTGCAATAACTACTCTCATTCATTGAATTAATAGTATAAATGGTGTCAGAATTAAGGATTCCTATAGTAGAAGAAAGGGCTAACAAAAAAGAAGAAAATAATTCAAACTTAACCTTTTACCCAACTATATTTTTTTCCTTTTGCCATTTATAAGTCCTTCCCCATGTTTACCTGCCTGTGATGTGATGCAAAACCAGCTCCCATGTAATGTTGCACGATTGCCACCTCTCACACATAAGTTTAGAAAGTTTGTGCTTGGGAATATTGTCATCTGCGTTTGAAAACTTATTTGTGACAGTGTGACAACACATAGGGGTTAGGCCCAAAAAAGAAAGAAAAAAAAAGTGCAACACCTAGATACTTGTTAGCACAATCTTTGAATTCTAATTGCACAAATATTTAAATTATAGCTAACCCCTTTCTCCCAAATTTTCAATACTATGTTTGCAATTGAAATCGCAAGTTTTGTACCTTGGTAAAGAACCACAAGTTGTTCTCACTTTCAAAAACTTACAACTATATTAGGAACCAATTCTTAGGTTGATAACAAACCAGATTATAACCTATCAACCACATACGAGCTGAAGAAAAGCAGCTGGTACTGAGGCTTACATAATTAAATACTAATTTGCAGTACATTCCAATGCATGTTTATTTAGGAAATCCTTCTGTGTTTACCCTAGTAAATGCATTTAGGATTATACTCAGCTGGACCATTCCTCTTTCACCAGTTCTGTTGCACTTGTGGGAGTGACTGCTTGCACATTGAGATATTCACACTTCTAAAAATAACATTGGAAAAGGGTGGAAACACTCTTTTCAGTTAGAAGCACAATAGTGTCATTGTATGAGCAGTTGCTCCAACCAGCTGAGAGCTGAAACTTACAAGGACATTGACCTTGTAAGACTACATATATTTTTCACATCTGCAAGTTTGTACTTGCACAGCTTCAAAAATTAACAAAAGCAAAAATGATTCTAAATATGTTTGTGCACATATCTGGGGTAAAAAATGTAAGTTTGACAAACTAATGACAGTCATGCCAAAATGCCAGTTAAACATTGATGCAGGAGCTGTCCGTCACAATAGCACTGGTGATATCATGACGTTTTTGCCTCTTTTGCTGAGCATCTTGCTGGTTGCTCCCACAACCCTTAGCAGAATTGGTGTCCTGGGTTTAAACAAAATGGTAAGCATTTCTTCACAGACATCAAGGTCAGCATTCACAGACTAGGGAATGTGACTTTCTCTCAGCCTGACTTATGCTTGCTCTTGGGATAAAATGAGAAGTCTGCCAGCCTGAGCTTCTTGAGAGGTGAGTGACATAGAGTAGCCTTCCCCAGCCTGATCTGCCAGTTGTCCAGATCATATGGGACTTGTAGTCCAACACAGCTGGAGAGTACCATGTTGGAGAAGGTTCATATGTGTTAATAGTAAAACTAAGCTGATGTTTATTTAGTCGGAGTCATGGGACAAATCTCATATTTGCTGCACTACTTTGCCTTCATCCTTGAAAAACCCACTCAGTCCAAGCTTCATTAAATAGTATTGAAAATATTAAGTACATTTAATACTTAGTATAATTAAGTACTTCCAAACTAAATGAAGTGAACAACGTAAAGCTATCCTGTGGGGAACTCTAAGGTAGGTTAATTTCATTTTAACCTGGGATAAAAAGTTTTCTAACTTTCTTTATGTAAGGTAATGCCTTGTCAAGCAAACTTAGTGATGTTCAGGAGAGAATTCTTCCTCATATACAGCACTTTATGCCAATCCATCATATGATATCTCATATGACTATGTAACTGCATATTAGAAAAGGAATCTGTCTCAGTAGGTCCTAGTACTATTTTTTTTTATTATCTATGTTTGCAGGGTTCCAGAAGAGTGTAACAGTAGGGGTTTTTTAAGGAAGCACAAATAAAGTTCTTTATCTTTCCAATTGTTATGTTACTGTGCATGTCTTTTGTATGGCTGCTGAAGCACTAGGGTAGCCATTTGTAAATAAAAAAGCAATAGAATTTTTCTGCTTTTCCTGTTATGTAACACTAACATTCAGTTTATGCATACTAACAATAAAAGCTCTTCTAGAAGTTTTATTAATGCTTTCAGCGCTTTAATTCATCAGCTTAATAAGATTTTCCACTATTACTCATAGCAGAATTCCCTTGTATTAAATACTGCTCATTGTCAGGAGACCATAGCTTTATGTATCTAGCTTTTGGAAGAGAAGGAATGCAGGATTGGGGAAAATCTTAAAAACCACATGTCTTTTCTAGGACGATTGATCTTTTAAACAGGGCTCTCACCATGCTGCTTAGACAATCAACAGCCTGTCCATGGAGGAAGAGTCTGGCAGTAGTCCTGAACTAAGATAAAAACTTTTCAGTGCTGCTAGTCAAAAAGGGCTCCCTTTGTCTCTCTCAACACTGAAAAGTCATCAGCAAAAGATAACACCTTCTCACTACTCTGACAAAGGTTGCAGAGCCAGATGGACAAGCTGTATTGAATCCAGGGGGCAGGCTTTCTTAAGCCCACCTTAAACCAAGTTTCCAAATCTAATGCACAAATACCCTCAAACTGCTCAGCCCAGATGGTAAGTGATGGCACCTACTACCCTCTTAGTGCTACCTTTGGTAAACATGACTTAATTATTTCTTAGGTAATCATTCTGTTTAACAACACAAAAGATTTGCTTATGATTAAAACAGAGCTTGCTGTTTTAGTTTGTTTGATTAGTCCCCAGCTTTCCATGGTATTTAATATTTCAGATCTCTGTACCAAAGAGCTTACATGAAGGAAGGCATACCTGCAGAAAAAGGCTTCTGCATGTATGTATTTTATTTCAGCTCAATATCAAGCATCTTTTCATAGTTGTTCACCTTTCTGCAAGCAAAGAAACAGAGTCAGAATGGGCCTACTGGGCCATCTAGTCTGGCCCCCTGGCATCAGCCAGCTCTGCTCATAACATGCACGGTAGGCTTCTACATTCAACTTAAAAGAAAGCAGTGTTAATGAGACATTAATTGGGTCCAATATAAAATGAACTGATAGTTTTCGAACCAGCAATCTAGTTGTAAGCATTTGCGTCAACCATAAAGGGAAACAGAAAACAGTTGCACAGAAGATGTGGTATGGCCAAGTATTCATCTCTGCATGAAAAACTTCACCTCTTCTGACTCTTTCTCTTGTATAGTACTGAAAGGTATGCCTTCATTTGAACAGGTAAAACAACAGAGGTGAAGAATAGGTGGCAGTTAGATTACAATGTGGCCCTAGAAAATGCTATACAGGGTACTGCAATAGAACTGGAGAAGTTAGAATGAAAGGAAACATACATATCTGTCATTATTGGAAAATGAGGGAATGAAAAATAAAAGCTGAAGATTGGAAATGCAAATATCCAGTATTGTCTTCAAAATGCTGTCGTTGACAGAATTACTTTTTCCTGAAGGCAAAGCAAGTTAATCCAAAAAACGTACAGTGAGAGTGCGAGAGAGAGCATCTTAATGTTCAGCAGACTATCAGGAATATATACAGTAAGAATCATAGCCAATTCTAGCTATGAATAGTGCTGGGATGAAAGCTAGCACAGTAAAACAGACCACTTGGAAAAGAAAGTCTCTGCAGCAGGGGTTTGGGTAAGTGACAGGATGGTGGATTTCTACTAGACAATATAGTATTCTATTTACTTGGAGCAAAAGAGTATCAAGTTAACCCAGTATAAAGGAGTGCTTTTACTTAAGGTATCTTAAACATGACCAGGGAAGAAATAAGAGTAGGAAGAGACTATGCTAGAAATACCATAGGCTAAACCTTAGTACAAATACTGCTTTTTTTTACTTGGGGATGAAAGCGTAACATTTCTATGCCCTACTAAAGTTCTATGGCAGCCAAGCAAATGGAGGACTGTAAATAGTATTTAGTAAAAACCATGCAGGCTAGTATTTAAAATACATCTTTTTGGAACAGGGCAAATAACCTATTTTTCTTCAGCCTTTCAAAACACAATATTTGCCTGTCCTGAGAAAAGTGGCAGCAGGGTTCTAAAAGCAAGCAGAAAAAGACCTTCTGAGTCCACAGCAAAAAAACTGTCCAACAGTCAAATGGGAATTCTTCAGCGAAAATCCAAGCTAACAGCAGGCAGCTGTAGTAGTAAGTGCAATCACCTTTGGTAGGGAAAAGGAGGACTCCTGAACAACCATAGCAATCATTACTGGCTGTAGGACACAAAACTGATAAGTATACATGAACAAACCCTGAAAGGGGGGGGGAGTTTGCCCATTTCCTGTGATGTACATACTTATGGACTAGAATGCTGAACTTCACTGCCATAACCTTTATGGATGACACATCATCTTTAATACAACACTATTTTTGTATAATATATCTTGAAAGAAAGCATGCCCTTTTTATTAAAACACAGACACCATGTCAGGCCTTGGAAATCTTTATTGCTAAAATTACTGGGATGGGGAAGAGAAAAGCTTTCAATAACCATTCATCAACATTCCATTTACATACACATGCAGCTCATAGAGCTTAACTGCTTTCCATATTAAAACAGTACATAAAGTGACCACACACAGAGTTCTGTCCTGTGAAACTTTAGTACTATTTAGACATTTGTCACAGTTGAAAAAACACCCTCCATATTCCAGGATTAAACAAGTAGAAACAGGATTTCAATCTTTACTCTTCTTGCTAGAAATTTATTAGGGAAAAACTGCAGAGACATAGTTCAAATAGAAGAAATTATCTGCATCTCACTGACTGCAGGTAGGCAACCAAGTTTATCAAAAATGGCTCTTTCTTTACAGCCCAACTGCTTTCCTCCCTTCCCTCTGCTATAGTTTTGAACTGCAGAATGCTTGGAAAACCATCAGGTTTAAGATGCTTCCAATTTCCTGTTCTACAGAAGTTTCCAGAGACCATTTTTTCACCAATCAGTTGTAATTTATTAACAAATGCAATTAAAACTTTGAATGCAATACTGTGAACTGCTTACATAAATCCAGTGAACTTCCAAAGTGCTTGAAAATGAGTGCATTCCATTTAAAAAAAACTATTTTCCTGTATCTCTTTTCTGCTGTGTGGAATATTGAATTATAGCCATTGTTACATAATTCAGCAAGTATTCTCCAATTAGTCCTTGTCAATTTCAACAGAAGTACCTTTGAAATGTTACTTGGAAGAAAGTTCCATTGAAAACAGAAATTAGAACTGGAATTTGATCTGGTTTGTTGAAGGCGGTCGGTTCTGTGGATAAGCAGCTCAGCTTCACAACTTAATGCTCCCATCTGCCAGAAAAGAAGCATGAGAACTGCCAAGCAAAGATCCAAAAACAGGGCATAAATTGTGGATTGGGTTGTAAATTCCCTTTGTAGATTTGTAATTCATTATGTAAAGAAAAGCTACTCCAAATGTATGTAAGACTATTAGAATTTAAAACTGCATAAAGATAATCCTAACATTTCCCACTGAGGTATTGGTTGCCTTCACATAAGGGACCAAAGTGAAAATCCTATATATAAAAATAAATTATCTACTGAACCTAACAAGAAATATATGAGAGAGAGACGGAGGGAGGGAGGGAGAGACCGAGGCCATTTTGCTCCAGCAAAATGACTGCTTCTCTGCTCACAGTGGTTGGAGTACAAACCCTAACAAGTGAATACTGAACACCTTATTCAGACTGAATTTGATCAGTGCAAGAATGTTAGTGCTCACAAAGACCAAGCTTCAGGAGGCCTCCAAGAGACAGCACATTCCATTAAGGGCTTATGCTGTTTCCATGAGATTTCCTCAAGTTTCCTACTAACTAGGTCCCACTACACAAAACTAAGCTGTGCCACCACACAGGTAGGCAGAGTATCAGTCTGTCAACCACCTGTGCTGTCATTATGTCCACTCCATTCTGCCTAACTAGCTAGCCATTAGACACTGACAAAATCTTCAGTGCTTTTTTTATATCTGTCCTGAACAAAAGAACTGAAGCTGCTCACATAAAGAGAAGAAACAAATAAATATTAAGTAACAAGCGCTAGAAAATGACATATAAAATAGATCTCTTAGTTCTTATATATAGCATGCCTTGATATGTAAGTAGCCTCTGATCCTTAATCTACTCTGGAACTCTGTTATCCATTTACTTCAGTGGGGCCTTATATGTCTGTACGATGGGGAAGTTGGGAGGCTGCAGTGAAATCCAGGAAAAAAGAAAAATATCTGCAGTGCAAGAAAATAGAGGGTTCCACATAAGCTTCAAAAATTAGGGGAAAATGTCACTTCAGTCCTGTAAAAGTATCAGTATTTGAACAATTATTAATATTTTTTTAAAAAACTATGGTGCATCCATCTCAGCCAAAAAGAAGAAAAAGAAAAGAAAAATACAGTTTGTCACAGTTCATCAGTCCTCCATGGAAGCTGCTGCCATTGCAGACTTCATACTTTCTCGTGTCGAGGTTAGTTCACCAATCACCCATTCTAAGGCTTCTCGACCCTGTTAAGAAAGGCACAAGACCAAAATTGACTCTCCAAATATAACATTAAACTTCTAAATCTTTCCTCTGTCAGACATGAAGAACTTCCGAAGCAAAATGCTTTTGCATTATTGAGCATTTTTAATTACTTGTGCTACTGAAATTCTTCTACAAGGTTATTTTATAGTACTCCACTTTTCCTTCTCACAAGGACAACCTTGAAAATTGATCATTGCTCTGAGAGCACATTTTTTATTAGTAACACTATGCCAACAAAGTTACAAGACCATAAACTAATTCTATTGCAGAATACAAGCATTAGATCAGTTTAGCAAGGCAAGAGTTTCAAGGGAGGGACTGGTTCATCTCTCCTGAGTGCAGAAACAGATATGACCTAAAACTATTTCCAGAATAAAAAGCATAATTTATTGTCTTCATCCTGCCAGTGTAACTTGAAGTCCTTCCATAAGCCATATTTTTAAATAATCTATGGCTTCTTCAATTATCATATTATCATATGCAATAACCAACAACGCTTCCCCCACTTTCATTCTTTTTTCCAACATGCTGATGGAAGAGCTGATCCAGCTCTCTTACAGGTATTTTAATGAAATTGTAATTTATGGTTGCTTTCCTATCCTACATCGCTCTCTGTCCTGAAAAAATGAGATGACAATTCTGTGCACACTTTCCTGGGAATATACCCCAGTGAAGACCATCAAATTTACTCCTGAGTAGAGACACATAGGAATGCACTGAAAATTACTTCCCCTGCTACTGCTTCTCAGTACCATTTGAAATCCATGTTGTACTATACCTCCTTAGTAATATGAGAGAGATGAAAAGCTGGGCTGCCTTAGCACTGATCTTTTCAAACACCAGTACTGGGTGAACCCAAGCCACTTAATTCAGCCAAACTTACCACCACGTAAACACCAAAACCATTGAATAACCCTGTTCTCAGTATCATTCTACTGAGAAACAAGAAAAAGCTGAGCACCCTTCAGCTTTGCAAGGCTTAATGGCAGTGCATTCCTATGGACGTTTCAGTGAGTTCAAATAAATGACAGTACTGCAATGCAATGTACACAGAATTGTAGGCTAAGGATAGCAACATAACCCGCCCCCCCCCCGCCCCCGGTTACAATACACAGTGCAAAACAAGCATGTGTGCAAATGTGTATATCAAATCTAAGCATGGTATTTTGATTGCCCTTTGCAGAATATAAAGAGCTTAATTAAAAGCATTATCTCCAGCCTTGCTACATTATCACTACTTTATCTACATATACATTGCATTGGAGGTGTTGGCTTTAATAGGATTAAAGGTAATTAAAAATACAGAGAGAGTGATGGGAATACACTTACTGTCTAGATCTAGTCAAATAATTCTTTGGACTGAGAGATTATTATCAATTGCACATGTTTCTAAAATGCAAAAAAAAAAAAAAGCCTTCTTGCTGGAAGCTTCGGTTCAATATGGGGAAAAATGAGGGAAACAGAACAAAAAACCTAATGTAGAGTTTACCTACATTACAGTGGGCTCCTAACAATATTTCTGCCACGGCTTTCCCCCAAAGTATCCCAGTCTCTGGATCTATGTGACGTTAATGCCACTCAAAAACTATAATGGGCAAAGTTTTCTGCAACAATGTCTATGTAATTAATATTGGTCTAAGCATATTCTAGCAGGTGAATCCAAATTAAAACCACACTAGCTGTAAAGTAGTTGCAGTACTCAACACAATTTTGTGGATTCCTGATGCTTGCCAGCATTCCTGGCAAAGATCAGTAATTTTATACTAAAATCGGAGATTCTCTCTAGTTCTAAATGACATGAGTCTGTTTGGTAAAAATAATCTGACAGAGGACTGGTTTACAGAATGTGATGTACCTTACAACATCATCTTTGTTTTGACTTCAAGCTTTGTATGACTTCAAGCAAGCATATTTGCAACCAAACATGCATTTCTAATGTGTTTATGAATATGGCAGTAGTCCACAGGGCATACAGAATGAATTATAAATTGAACATTATATCAGTGATTACTGCTTTAAGAACCATTGAGAGCACAAAGTTTTACAACTTGGAAACGTTTCACGGCCTGAATGATAAGACTGAAAGCATACAATGCAAGTTTACCTGTGTCTTATAATATATACACACACTTCAAAATTGAGAGTATTTAAATACAGCAACACTATGATAGTGTTTGAATTCTCCAATTTAATGAGTGTTTCAAGGACAGAATTACTAGTCAAAATAGTATATTTAAGATTGGTGAGAATACCATCTATTCTCAGGCTCAAGGAGTTCTAAAAAAGATAGATATCTAAGTTGTAATTCAAACAGATAAACAGCAGTTAATCTGATGCTAAAAATTCTTCTGAAAATGCATTTCAATTACAGTAAATTAGGAGTGTTTCTATTACTGCATACATTTGTAGGAGTTTAAATGGGCCTGATTAAAATGTAGCAAGTCCTTATTTGTTGTTAAGGAGCATAAGATACAGTGAAGTTCATATACTCTACTTCTACTCTGACTGACAGGTGTGGGGAGTAGATCAGTTTCAACTTCAAATTTATAACTAGTTGCAATTTGCCATTTTTTGATGAAACCAACAAATTAGTTTGCTCGAAGTACCATCTGTCCTCAAACCATGAATTGGACAAAGTGGTAAATGGCAAATTATTGCAAATCTCAACAAGAACTTTCTGATTTTCCATCACATACAGAGAATGAAAGGAAAGAAACATATTTATGATCCAGGAGGTCAATGCAGCTCATGCTTGTAACAACCTATGGTTTGCTGTAGTATTTGTATGCAACCAAATGTTTTTACATGAGTATGCCTTGCCTAAATTTTAAACCACCTGGAGATCTATAAGGTAGGCATAATATCTATACAAAGCCATTCCTAGATGTAAGAGGTAGCTGCTTAAACTCCAATATTTTCTGTTGTAATGTCGAGAAACACTAGACATATGGTGTGATATCACCACCTTGAAAGTTTGCTTCATCCATCATGGGACTCTTATCAACCACATATCTGTCAAGTTCCCTCCTAGCAAGAAGCAGTAGGAACATCCAAAGCACAGAAGAGACTAAGCTTCCTACTTGTCAGTGTAATGGCTCCTACTCAGTTGCCCCCAAGGAAAGGCAGGCCTCCACAAAAAAACAAGGCCCTCCAGTTCTGTTCAAATAGCATTCTGCTCACTCAAAGCACAAAGAACAGAAGGTGAACATTATTAATCATTCAGGATTATGGTAAGAGCCTCTTGACTTTCCTGTGTCAAAACATTCAGACACCACTATATCCCTGCCAATTCCAATATTAATTAATATGGGAGCTGTTCCTCTATATGTAATAGGGGTGTGTGTCTGTGTGTGTGTGTGTATATATATATGGCATGCAACTTTTAAAATAACATAACATGCAAAGATTTGCTAGAAGCTGAAATGCTGTACCAAGGTAAATGCTGGTATTACCACTAGTTAGTACAAAATGCAGCTGTAGAAAGATACTGCTAGCTTAGAACACTTTCAGAATGTTGAATTGTCCACTCAATAGCATCCCACCCCTGGAGTAACACAGAAAAGATTTACAACTTACGGCAAATGTTATTCCATCATCTGTCCTGCAATCTCAAGAGCCCCCAGCAAAATTAAACATTTTTAACTGGCTGCATAATTGTATCAAACAATTATATCCTAGAAAAGCTTTAACTCTGCGTTACAGAAGGCCTCTGATGGCACACAATGATGCATTCCATCACAAGGTTAGCAGAAGCAAGGTGAGCTTCAAACATACCTCTGCCAGGTTCATTGAAGAATTGATCATTACCAGCTTTTTATACAGTAGCATTGCAAGACACATAGAGACCAGTCATACAGAGATTACCCCCACCCCGCAGCCCTTTCTGGTGCCCCTGTGACTCCCAGCTTCTGATGCCACCAAAAAGGAAGAAAAAAGGAAGAAAAGAAGATGCACACAAATGTACAAAGCATTGGGAAACATCAAGGAAGACTGGCGACAGAGGTATTAATTTTCTTAGGATCATACCCCTTAAAGCATGTACTTGTCCAATTATATTCTTTAAGGCTAGGCCATTTGATTGCAGCTTTACAATCGAATCCGAGCCATGTTTATTCAATGTCCCACTGAATCCTATGGATTTACTCCAACTTATATGAAGAGCAGGTCTCCATAACTCTACCCTCTTTGAACGTCATTAAAATACTTAAGGTTGAAAAATCTTAAACTATAACTCTCAGGTTATGGAATGTTTGTGTATAACTTAAAATGACATGAAAAGGAAGGGTTGCTTTTCATCCATCGCTCACTCTAAAACAGGGGTGAGCAACCAGCAGTCTTCCACTCACATGCAGTCCTTCTGAAAATGATGCGGCCCTTAGCCTAATTTCAAAAGTCTATGCAAGTGAAGCACAGACAACAGCTTTCTGCCCCTTCCTCAGTGAGGCTGGGAAGTAGGAGAGAGAGAGGGAAAGAGAGGGGGGTTCCACCTATGTCTGGTTTCATCACCACCTTCAAAGAAATGCAGAAATCAAAAGAAGAACGTTTCCCAACCCCTGCCCTAGATTTGCTGAGACTCACACGCCAGAGTATGAATCTGGCTATTTGACACAGGAAGTGGTATCATGTTCCCCTCCCAACATGGCATATCTGGCACAGGAACACATGCACACAGGGTAAGAAATGAGACATCTGTATATAAACAAGGGAAATGGAATGTATGCAGTCTTCTGACTTCAAATTCCTCCTTTGGGTGCTAGAGTTGGAGTATTCAAACCAATCAGGCTCAAGCAGTCCTTTGTGGAAGCAGACATTCAACCAAAGATTCTGTTCTATAGTTGATTTTCAGCTTCAGTGAGAGATCAATCTGATCAGGCAATCTGCTTCTATCATACCTGTTCTAGCCTCTGAGCTGTAACCTTTGTTGCTTCAATCAAAGCCAAAAACGTTTATTTCAGTCATTTTTCCTGTCTTCTTTCATCACAAACACAAAGTTAATTCTCTGCCATACTGAGAAGAAAGCAAAGGCTCCCACCAGCCTAGCCTGCATCAGGACATAGTTTTCTTCCTTATAGACATCTACATACCTGCAAGTATACAGCTGTATGAAACTTCAGCATAAGCGCAAGAAAAACATATCAGGATTAATTGCTATAGAACTATGTTAACTGTTTAGTTGTTATTCTGTAGGATCATGTCAGCTGGGAATGAGGAGAGGGGCACATCTGACACAGGCGGTGGGTGCCAGGATGGGGAAGGCTGTTCTGTAGAGTTACGGATGCCAACTACTTTCTGACTTTAAGTAAAAGATGTATAACTGAAGGTATCTTGGTCTCCCTCTGCCCAAGACAAATGAACTGGTCACATGGACATAATGAAATGGCTTGAACACTGCTTTAAATCTTAAATGAGCCACCTCACAGTAAACACCAACCCAGTATATGGTCTTCATACACGTACCTTTCTAGCATTAGAAGAGATTGTGCTTGCCATTAAACTTTCCAAGTAACTACTGAGGCTGACACCTTTTACTGTAATAATTGCTTCTTGAGTTAGCAGAGTTCTAGAAAGGAAGAGGAAAAATTAATACAGAAAAGACTCCTTGACTCAGGTTTTTAAACGCGAGATCATGAAACAGTATGCTCCAACTTACTTGTCAGGGTTTTCAGGATGAGGTGTGTAGACCAAGCGTTCATCAACTGATACAAGATTTGTAAGCGTTATCTTAGAAAAAGAAAAGGACGAATTAGCTCCTCCTACTGCTGAACTCCTGCTTTTGACACGTAACTTCAATCAAAAGCCACAGATGAGAACAGTACAAAAGCAAGACTGACTGTCTGACTCCCAATTGTTTAACAATAACAATAATGCAATGACTCTCCCTCCTTCACTGTCTCCATTGTACTGCTGGAATTAACCTGATTTGCACATTATGTCAACAACAATTTCTAAGTTAACTCTGGGTTGCTTGAATCATCAATAACCTACAATTCATTGTTGCCATGATGTGCAAACGTCAAGTGTATAAAGTAGAGGGATGGGGAGGAGTCGTCTTATTGCTATGATTAAATTATACCTGATCTCCTGCAAAATACTTTTAATTCTAGCAGTCACAGCACTAACAAACTTTACATTAACTCTGGGTGCCAATGTCATGCAAAAACCTACAACAGGCTGTTCATAGCCTGTTTATTCAAATGGAAGGTGATGTGTGGCATGTAACTAGGCAAATCATAGCCTAATTCAGTATTTGGTGCCAAGCTATGCTAACTTGAGCCATTGAGAGACTAGAGTAACCAGAAGCAGATCTTTATGTGGAAAAGTTACAAGTTACATTCATTCTGCCACCCAAAATAAATTCCTAGGCTTAGAATTCATTGTGTTCTTTGTACTAGGCTCTTCTGGTGGATGTTCTAGTGTGAAGCAAAACAGATCCCAGAATTCTCAGGTCTGTGTTGGCCTCACAGCAGCATTTTTGTCATATGCTGCAAGTACAGATACAAATATAGTCAGTAAGTTAAAAAAAACCAGCAGCTGTTCCATCATGCCAGCAAATAAAATACATAGTGCTTTATGACTTACGTTTGTGGAACTCAGTATCATTTTCTTTTCTACTGGATCAACCACAGAATGTTCTTTAATGTATGTAACTGTTCTACTTGTTCCCAGAATCTAAAAAAGGAAAGCAAGCACTCATATAGCAATGAAAAGTTACAAGATTAAGAAGGTTTGTGATATTTCTATAAGGAAAATTGTCAATGCCCAACCAGAACATAAAAGTCTCATAGTGCAAAAAGGAGGGGACCACAGCACTCCTCTCCTGGACTACCTGTGCTATATGCCCCATGCAAGCCTTCCTGCTGCAGTCTTCACATGCTCAAAGACCTCAGCACCTAAAGAAGACTCATCATAAGCTTTTCACACCTTACATAAAATGTAGCATTATGCCCAATGGAGCCAAGACCAAGAGATGCACACAAGACGGTTCACAGAATACTTTAGAACATTATTTCCTATACAGAGGCTCCAAATTTTGGTATCAATGTACCACTGCCCACCTTCAGGTTTTATCTTACCGCTTTCACAATACTTGGGAGGCCCCATTCAGTGCTAAGTAGTCGGTGACTGTGCAACCTTCCTTGATTATCAAGGCTTCGGTCCAGGACATCAACTCCTACCACAGATGGATTCATAGGATTGGGATATTTTCTCATAGCAGCTTTTATTACGGTATCCCATGGATGCCTAAGAAGAGAAATAATCAACATATGTTTTTAATGAACTCAGTGTACCCAATACTGTCTAGTTCAAACTAAATCTCTTTCATTTGTATTGGAATACTAAATACATATTTCAAACACACAGCTGTTTGAACTTATATAAGAGTTGATGCCTGAATTTATTTTCCTCTTTCTTCACAAAACCCTTCTTTTTGTATTACATGTTAGATTGTTAACTACCTTAACTCCACTGGCAGAAATGTGTGTATGTGATTGTCTCCAAATAAATACAATGAACAAACAACAAATATTCTAATTACCAAGTAACAAACTGAGGGTTATATATTACACTTGCAGTTTTGAAAGTTTGAGGCACACGTCAGAACAAACTGCATGCAAACCATATGCTTATGTTATAGCATGAATATCTTATTATAATTTTATATAAAACAGATAAACAGTCAATTCTAGTTTAGAATTATGTGCTCTAAACTGATCATTCAAGCTTGTATTCTTCATTTAGAAGAAGTCTCATCAAAAACTTGTATCAAAATTCCACTCTTAAGTTAGTAGCATTTGCAGAAAATTCATGCTATTAATGAACTAGTGCAAGTATTACCACATTGTAAAAATCAACAAGAGATTTTTCTTGGCAGCATCTTCCTAGCCAGAATGGACCACTGTACCTGGAAAAAGGACCACTGTCTTTCAGATGTAAAAGTTAATTCTATATTTAACTTGTTCATCAGTTTTTCTCAAGGTGAATAAATCCATCTCAGCCTTCTTAATCAACTTAAAGCAGAAATTACCATTAATAACCAATTTCAGTAACATATTTAGAAACAATTTCAATTATGTTTTATAAGCTGCTTTTAGCCATGTATCTCATCAGTCCTGGACCTGGCAATGTTTTACTCAGAGTCCCTGGCTTGCATACATTTTACTGTAATCTGATTGTTTTAGCCATTTAGAAAACTGTATTTCCTGCAGCTTTAAAGTGTCCTATTCCAAGGCAACTGCTGACTTTCATTCTAAAAGCCTGCTTATAATCATGTTCTGCATGCAATGGGGTCTGACTGTTGCCAGAAACACATTGGCACAAAGGATGAATGAAATGTGGATGCAAATAGACAGATTCCCTGGTTCAGCAGCAGGCATTCAAGTAATCGTAACAGCTTGAAGGAGGGCTATTGCTGCCAGGTAGCTATGGGTTTGTCCAGAGATGGACCAGAAGGCAGGGACAGCCTTCAACTGCTTACAGCTGAAGATGATTTAGCATGTGTCACATTTTGAATGGAAATTAGACCTTGCCCAACACTCCATTTGTTTGAAAGGGGGAGACACAGCACTCCTCTTCAGGACCTTGCCTTCTCCAAGTGGCCTGCTGCAGTTTGCACATGCTCAAATGCAGCAGCAGCAGCAGCCTACCTCTGTGTTGCCACCTGGCTGGAGCAGAGAACCGTAACTGCTTGCCAAGAGAAGAGGTTAAGCACTGGTGACCTACCAAGGGAAAAGGTGATGCTAAGAGTACTCTCATTTCTGATGTACAGTAGAAAGTTCAAATACGCAGAGAGCAGACCTCTTGGTACAGCTGGTAAGCAAAAATCTTCATGCAGGTGATATCACCAACAGTGTCTTGTTCAGTGCTGTCAAGAGCTTGGAGACATGCCACTCTTGCACTGAGCACCTTAAAGCCTGCTAAAGGATCCTGCTGGCAAGAATGCACAGCCTGTTTCTAACCAGCACCCTCAGGCTTCAGAAAAACTGAAACTGTTTGCCACAAAGCAAACAGCAATTACTCTAACATAAAATGTACCAAATGTTCATTGTATATAAGCCCATCAAGCTTCACGGAGTTTAAATGACTGACATACTCCAAAATTATGATCATAACTAACAGATTTCAGAATATGGGGCTAAGTAAACTTTGGTTAGATGGCCATTATTAAATATAAGAATGTGAGTGACTCCACTCTCAACTTTCAAAACTTCACTTATGAAATACCATTTAAAACACCAATGGGATCCACCAGTGAGAACAGTTTTCCATCTATTTTTAATTAGAAGAAGGTCCCATCAAAGGCAATGAGACACTCCTACGTGCACAGCTACAGAATAAGTAGCAATGAAGATCTTCTGTTTTGTTTCATGGAATAGTCTTTGGTCTAAGTGGCAGTGACCCAGTACTGACAGATTTTGATCCAGCTAGTACAGGTTATCTTAAGGTTTATGCAACCTGACACAGTCAATATTCATGAAGGTGACTAAGGAGGTCAAGTTAATACTTGGCTGTCCCTGGAGATTCGGATAGGAGTTGCCCTAGTGAGCATGAGAACAGCACAGTCAGCATGGTACTGCACAAATCTGGCACTGCACATAACTTCCTTGTCAGTTGGTAAAACTCCATCAGTCTCTTTCAGGAAACACAAGGACATTGGAAAGAGCTGTGTGATTGCTTAATTACACGCATAGCAGAATCCGTGGCCAAGAGGCCATCCTATTCAAAAGGAATGATTTCAGAGAACTGCTTTTTATAGATGGCATTGTATTTAATTGCTGGACGGCTACTGTTCATTCTTAAAAGGTCTATTACAGCCTTTTCTCATTTAGCTTGTCACAGATATAGTACTGATTTAGTTTGCACATACAAAAGAATGTTGTGCTTTCTTTCCAGACATGTCAAACAAGAATTTTCCAATGCATCATACCCTACTTTTCTTCTAATTAAATGGAAGCAAGCTGTGTGTCAGGTTGTTGCATTGAAAAATTCCAAGGGAATTGAGTCATGAAATTATTCATACAGGTCTGTATATACACAGGCAAGACAGAGCAACATCTCCTCCTGCTCCACTCCTACTGCCAGCCAGCCTGCCAGCCAGCCAGCCATCCCTGGAGTGCCCTGTTAAAGGAGTAAGACAAGACCACTGTCCACCCAGCACTCAACAGCAAAACATTTTTTCAGGGCTTGGTAAAACATCCTTAGGTGATGAAAAAGGGGGAGAGAACACTGTGGCTTTCACCCTCTGGCAAGGCTGGAAAAAAAAAAAGACCAGCCTTCTATCCAGGTTAAAGATTGGAGGGAGGGGGGTGTCATGGAATACAATTTAGAGGAAGTAATACAACCAAGAGGGAAGAATTCATCCCACTCTCTGGTTCTAAGCTGAAAGGAAGAGGGAGGGTGCCCATTTTGGTGCTCAAGGCTCTTGCAACCTATCACAAAAACAGGTTCCAGGGTCTCACTCCAGAGGAGAAAACTAGAGATGACCATTTTAACACCTTATTTTTGCCCCATGTTAACAAAAGTCCCAGCTCAAAGCTGCGACAAGGAACAGGAATCTTCCTCAGTTATGTTGAGCTTCTAAGGCTCTCTAATCCTTCTGTGAGGGGCTTATCTATTCCCTTCTCCTGTTCCAGGGAAACCGGCACTTGTCTCTTGAAGGGGTGGAGGACCTGCGGTCTCCAAGTAGTCACATCCCCTTCCTCTGGCTCCATTCTATTATACACAACCACCAAGCTCCTTGTACAATTGTGCCTCCCATTCTAAAAGGTTGATATGTCTTATCTAAGGTTTAGTTGCTAGTAGTAAAAGTTTCACCAGAAATTTTGCTGGCATTTTTATATAATTTCTTGGTATTCTCAAGAGTGTCTCATCTTAAAAGTAACATGTTTCAGTCCTTGAATTGGTAATAGCCCTACCCACTTGTCAGCAATGACATTCATACAACTGAAATACACTTGACATTGGCAAGCTGGTGCCCAGCTAATAGTTAGGGTCACAATTCCTGCTTCCCTAACCATTAGCCACTTTGGAGTTGTAATCCAAAGCATATGAGGGTAACAGGTTGCCTGTCTCTCATTTATGCAGGGGTGGCAAAAGTTCAGTCACATGACCTTGAAGTCTGTCTCCTTTGCTCTGAATATTTCCAGTATTTGCATGCAAGAAGAGCAATGAGGCAGTCTCATTTACTGGATTAATTCTCTCTTACACTTCTATTTACAAAATGGAAAAGTGGGGAGAGCAGAATGCTTGATATCTGTAATAAACCAAAGATTCTGTCTCCTTATGTTAAGACTCTAGAGTTTTAAGTAATGCTAAGAAAGAGTCTTTTTACTCAAAGTGGTTGTGCTTAAAGACAGGCCTGTGCATAGAAGCACTTCCACTGACTAATATAGGGTTTTTTTGTGCAGGGATTTCATACATCAGAAATGCCATTCTAAATTTCTAAGGGATTTCTAAAACTAATACAGCGAGTAAGGATCATGAACTTAATGTTGTAAGCCGCCCTGAGGCTTCGGCGAATGGGGCAGCATAAAAATGTCTTAATAAAATAAATAAAATAAAATAAACCCTCAGAAAGGAAGTCAGAACAGCTAAATAAGCTCCCAGTTGTCTAGCTATGGTGGCCCCTCTCACCCATAACTGTCACCATAGGGCAACTAAAAAAATCATTTTGCTATGACACCAGGGGTCAGGACTGAGGGCAGCAGGTATGTGGAGATGAAGCCTCCAAACAATTTTCCTTGTCTTCTGTCTTTGTCATTTTATCCTATCGTTTTTAATAGCCACTTTTTATGCAAAGCAGTTTGCAACGCTCCCCTGAAAAGTGGTTGATTTTTAAAAAATTAATCATCGGGAGTGAGCACCCACTCATGCACACAAGTTTTGAGGCTGAATGGGGACGATGGGAGTTGTAGTGATTAATTCTCTCTGAGCCTGCATAGGATAGCGCCTGAAAGCCATGGCTTAGGTCAAGGAGGCTGCAGGTGCGGCAGGACAGGTCGGGCTAGCGAGGGCGGGGGGAATCCCATCGCGATCGTCAGAATGAAGCCGTCTGCGTGTGTTACGAAGCGAAACAAGACCAAGATCCTCGACTTCAGGAAGAAAGCAAGAGACGGTCGAGCGATTAGGTCTCCGCGCTGGTTATTTTCACACACACCCATCCACCCCTAAGCACGGGAGCAAAGCGCCACCCTCTTACCCAAACTCGTGTTGAGAGCTCCAGATCTTCATCTTGCCAGGCAGCAGCAATAATGGCCGCTCAATCGCAGGAACCGGCTTTCAGTCCCAAAGGAAAGGGTGGGCCTTCCCGCGTGAAAGGGGCTGGGCAAAATGACAGAGGCCGTCAGTCACGACGTTATTGGTCGCTTGGGCGGGACACCGTCCTGAGCCGACCACTCGCTGCTGGGCTTCCAAGCCGCGGGGAAGGCAGATGCATGACGCGCTCGCAGGAGGCGGGGCTAACCGCTCCCCGCCATTGAACCAAGAGTGCGGCTTCACCTTGCCCGGCAGCGCGTGCTTACGTCATTGCCTCGCCACCCCTCGGAGAGGGAAAGCCGCTCTCCCGTGCCAAGCTGTGCCCGTCCCAGTCAAGCGCGTGACCGTCCCAGTCAAGCGCGTGACGCTGTTCGGTCCTCTCGCGTCGCTGGCTCGGCCTATGCGCCTTCCCCCTGACCTCCTTGGGAGTGATCCAAGGCGGGGTTCTGAGGTCGCCTTTGGAGTTCATTTTGTTCTGAACAGAAAGCGGAATTACGTGTCTGCGGTTTGACCCCGGCTCTCTTTGAGTTAGGCGTCAATCCTAAAGTCTCTTTTCTGGAAGTAAGCCGCACTGAATCGTGCTGTTAATCTCTCATTGGATTTCGGGGCCCGAGTAAAATCTATTTACATGGCCTACACGAGAAAGACAGGAATCCCAACTCTGCAGAGTAGTTCACTAACTCTGCACTGTATGAAATTGCACCTTTAAAGAACCCTCCCAGTCTTCTAATTTAATGAGAGTCCTTTCGACATATGAACACCTTAGGCTGCAGTCATATGCATCTTTAGACAGAAAGTAGCCCTACAACTCTCAGAACGAGAAATCCTGGGAGTTAAACTTTTTCTGTCTAAACACTCATAGGATTGCTCCTTTACAGTAGTTTATTCTGTGCGATATTTTTCACACGTGTCAGCCATCAAATGGTGATGAAATCACTGAAGAATCAAGAAGCGCTCCCTAGAATTACAATCGGATCCTATGAATGGGGTTGACACTTGCTGTGCCAGTCTTTTTTCCCAATGTACTTGACTCAGTTGCTAGACTCTTCTGCGCTTACACTACAATTCTATACATGTATAGTTAGAAGTCTCCTGGATTGGTATGTCAGTCCTTTTATACCAAAACTCTTAACAGATTTATACAGCACAATCAGATACCTATTTAATCAGAAATAAGCTCCATTGAGTTCAGGAGAACCTACTCCACTGAATATACGTGCATATTATCCTTGGCCAAGGACAACATGCCACAGCTCATCATGACACTAGCAGTTAACTGCGGTTGAATGTTTGGAAAACACAGCACTTACTCGTCAAAAGACAACAGTACAGTAAAGACAAAATGTCTCCGAGGTTGTTCTATTCCCAAACCCATAGATGTAGACGTATATTAACTAAAGTTCTTGAAAATTACTCCCCAGGAAACGAGAAGTGTAACGGCCTCACACTGCAATTCTATATATGTCCCGCTGAAATGAGTGGTGGGACTTACTACCAATAGCTTCCCCTGAAACTTTCCAGATGTATTGGACTACAACTCCCAGCATCCTCAACCATTATAATCTAACATATCGGCAGGGCATCCTCTTGGGAGAAGCTGGTAGGGTTACAACCCGAGTTCTATTACCTGATGGTAATACTACAAAAATAATTAAAAACTAATTTTCATCTAGGACGGGAAAATTATGCAAAGAAACAGGGAGGAGGAGCATCCTCAGCTTCCCTTCTTCCAAGTTGCGACTTCTGCCCTACTTTCCGAGGTGGAGGTTGGACCGGAGCCACGTGGCTCCCTCCGAGTCGTCTGGCAGCCACGTGACTTCCCGTGCGTCAGCTGACGCAGCAGCAGACCTACGCGTGGCTGCAGCCTTGCAATCGAGGCGCGGTGACAGCGGTTCTCTGCCAGCGTTGAGCTAAATTCCAAGTGGGTGCGGCTCACCGGGGAAAGCATTCCCTGCGCATCACCTTTCACCAATCTGGTGCCCTCTAGAGGTTTTAGATTGAAGGAAGTTGACTCTGCGGGTTGGGTCTGATGGGAGTTAAAAGTCCAACATATTTGGAGGACGCCAGGTTGGGAAAGCCTCTTATAAATGGAGATAAAGGATGTATTGCCACACGTGGGAAACGTGTGATCAGGCGCCAAGCACACTTGGCATAAGAACCCCGCTGGATTAGTCCAAGGATCTATCAGTTTAGCTCAGCATCCGGTTTCCAACAGCCGCCAACTATACTCTGCAAAGCCACGAGCACAAACAGGCAGCTCCACAAACAGTTCTGATACTAAACGCCTTTTGAAGAAGACCTCAAGGGAATATGTCCGGATATACATTCCAGAATTAAGCATTCTTACTACCCACTTGTGCAACTGCCCTTTGCTGTTGTTGCTCTTTCATTTTCCATGCCACTATTTGATCCAATCTACCTGTGCTTCGGGATCGATTCCATAAAAAACCCCACATCCCCCAGATTACAAGGGCTGAGTAGTGCTGTCAAGGACAGATTTTAAAGAGCATCCATTCAGAGGGTGGCCGTAAATCGGAGACGACTTAACGACAGGTAACAACCAGGGCTTCGGAGCAGGGCATGAAAACATGCGCTCGCTCCATTCAACCCACATCGCTGCATACAATACGGCCCCTTGGAAAATAGCGGGGCTTTTTTCTAACAAGTGACTGGCTGGACTTGAGCACCCACGGAACCTGCAAGACACGGAGAACAGACGACCAGCAGCTCAATGTACTGGGTTAAGGAAGCGAGGCTTGCGGAAGGCGAGTCCACGCGCTTGCGCAGAAGCAGTTATGAGGGCGACGTGATGGCGTCACTCGTGCCGCCGCGGACGCGGTCCCGTTCCCGTGCGCGTGCGGGAGCGCCAGCGAGAACGGCGCTGGGCCTGTGGAGGTTCGGGTCATGGCCTATCGCTGCCTGTGGTTGTCGCGGGGCGGTTACCGGCGAACCCCTGCTGGGGTGCCTGGAGCCCAGCAGCTGCTCTGGGGTCGAGGCCTGGCAGCGCCTTCGCGCTACCTGAGATTGGTGAGTCACAGGCACGGCAAGGACAAAGAGCTTGTGCGCCTGCATCGCCACCGCCCCCCTTTCCAACAGCGCCCGCTTTAGGCTGGCTGCGCCCGTTTCCCGTCGCCTGAGCTGGGCTGGCAGCTGCCACACACCAACGCAGCCCCATGGCGGGTTCCCCCTCAGTCTGGTTGCTCTCCAAATGTTTTGGACTACAAGTCCCAGCATTCCTGATCGTTGGTCATGCTGCTTGGGGTTGACGGGAGCTTAATTCTGAATGGCTAGAGTACACCGTATTGAGGAAAGCTGCCTTGCTGAGTCGTTATGCAAGTTACTTTGTTACCCACCAACATGTAAAAACTTGATGTTTTTCACAGCATGATGTTGGTCATGATTTTAGCATTAGGAAGATAGGGAGCTGCCTAAATTTGATGTTTGTTTTGGCCTGCTCATTATTGTCTACACTATTTATTTATTTATTTATTTATTAAAACATTTTTATGCCGCCCCATTCGCCGAAGCCTCGGGGCGGCTTACAACATAGATAAAACAATCAGTTAAAATATCCATATAAAATAATCTTAATTAAAACACACATTATAAAATAAGCCGCCCTG